TAGTGAATGAATGGAGGATCGAATGGAATGGGCAAAGACTCGAGACAGGAAGACCCACAGCAGGCTGTTGCAGCAATCAAGGCATTAGGTGACAAGGGCCTGCACAAGAGTGGTGGCAGTGTCAGAAGAGAGAAGGCAGCATAGTTGAGATACGTTGGAAAAATGAACTCTACAGGCTTTGGCAACAGCTTGGATATAGGGGGTGAGAGAGATAGTGAGGAATCCAGGACAGCTCATAGGCTGTGAGCCTGAGGGACTGGAGGGATGATTTTACCCTCACAGTAATGTTTAGGGGGAAAAACAATGAATTGTGTTTTGGACATATTGAGTACTTTATTTTACTGTTTAAATTGAGTGGATTCTAAATATAGCAATCCTAGGATTCTCAATTAATGTGCCTTAGAAAGATGATGGGTAGAGTTAATTAATTTTTTATCTTGAAACCTCAATATCAATCTCATACTACTCCCCTTCATATCCTCTACATTTTAGCCACACTAGACTAATTTCTGGCCCCTGGATTCTAGTCCTTCTTTCTCTCTTATCTTTCTGCCTTTGTTCAGGCCATCTTCTTTAACTGAAATAGATCTTCCTTTTCCCAACTGTACTTGCTAACATCTTTCCCTCACTTTGAGGATTAATTCAGTTGTCACCTCCTCCATGAAGCCTTTCTGGTTTCCCCAGGCTGGATAGACACTCAATTACAAATATCTCAGAATCCAGCGTTAAGACCACTCCTTTGCACTTTTCACATTCAGCCTTATATTCTAGTCAAATGTGGTGACATCTGATTTCCCCTATTTGGTTGTTCTTTAAGTACAGGAAATATATCTTATTTCGTCTTTGTGTCACCAGGGCCTTGTGCATGGTTGGCAACAAATACAAGTTTGATGAACTGAATAGATAATCTACCTCTCCCTTTGTTAGGAACAACTATTCCCACTGTAACTTGAACAAAACATCAGTGAAAGAACATAAGAGCAAAAATATAAAAAGTTTAAGGAACATTTCATCTCAATTTATTTGTACATTGTCTCCTTCCAAAACGATTTGCAGGTGCTTACCAATAAGAATCCAGTGAAAACTAAAAATGCAATGATAAAAAAAAAAGAACAGAGCAGGGGACGAGCGGAAGGAATAAATGCTATCAGGACCTGAACTGAGAATGTTATGACACTTAGTGTATTCATTTGACTCTTGAGTTTTCCGGCCCTTGAAAAAGGGGGGACATTTAGTTACATAGTTTTCATTATCTGGCAAGTAAGGTGTCTGCAGAGACAAAATATTTCCCTGGAACTAACCTCAAGCAGAAATTGATTGTGAGAGTCCTTGAAGAAAAGACATGTTAGGGAAGCACAACACCCTCTGTGTTCAATTATATGTCACAACATGGTATTGAACATGTATGCTAGATAGCTGAGAACTGAAACAAAATCTAAGGTCTTCAGTTAAAACATAAGATCCGAGAGAATACTGCATGCAGAGTCACAGGTCTTGGGTTAAAATCCTGTCTCTCCCACTCCTGATATCTCTGGGCCTCAGTTTCCTCATCCATACAGTGAGGGCAATTGGACTGGATTGCCTCAGAAGTGCCTTTCAGTTCAGAATCTGTGATCCTGTGATTCTTGAGGGCCTCACTTCTCACTATCAGGGGGATGGACAACGTGAACTCTGTGGTCCCCTCCAGCCCTAAATCTAAGCTCCTGCGATCCCTATATAAAATTCGTGAAGAGAGAAAGCCAAAGTTACCACAAGTCTTTGACTTCATGTGGGAATGTGCCAAGCTAAACAGAAGGCTCCCAGGGTACCTTGAGCTTGTGAAAATAGCTTATACGTGGATGTCTCACAGTGACCATTCTGAGTGCCCCATTTCCCTTATTCCTTAGTTACAGAGAGAACAGCACTAAACAGGCATGAGGATTATTTTATTAGCACTTTAACACTCTCTAAAACAATTCCTTTAAAGAAAATGGCTACTCCCATTATGCACAAATAAGCATTAAATGGTATAGGCCCTTTTTTTGCTTGTTTGTTTTGTTTTTGTTTTTACATTTTTTAGAATGGAAACAGTTTTACTTGTACCCAAAGCATTACCACTAAAGTCTTCATTAGAGAAAATCCTTTTCAGAGCTGTTTCTTCTGAAGGCTGAATGCTATTCTAGCTATTACAACATAGCAAATGGTTGTGAGCTGCAGGGGTTTGCCAAGGTACTGAAGCAGGCAACTATAATTGGTAAATGAAAACGTCTAACAGTTGAGTCTAATCCTTTAGCTATACAAATGTGGGGGAAGGCATTTTGCTCACTAAAGAGCCAAAAGTCACTAATTTAGAAGGGCATCAGTGAATAAAAAATATCTGTTTTAAAAAGCTTCTCTTCCCTTTACCCCTGATTCCCAAACACATACATACACAACCTAGGTGATAATCAGCTTCTCACTCAGACTTTCAACAGTGTGCCTCCTGTTACTTGGAATTTTTTTCTTCTATAATTCACAAAAGATAAAACTAAATAGTAAAATGTTTCTGGTGTACTTTCAAGAACTGGTCAAAATGTGAAGAAGACTTCTCTATGACGAAAAAGTGGCTAAAAACCTGGATTAAATGAACCAAAAAAAGAGTAAAATTTATTACAGTTTTGTTGTTATTGTAAGCCCCATAAATATATTATACTCTGAACTCTCATTACATAATTATTCACGGAGTATCAATGCTGGAAGGGATCTAACTAGTTCAATACCCATTTTGCAGATGGTTGAACTAAGCCCAGTGAAAGAGTGTGACTTGCCTGAAGTCTAGACTAGAACCAAGGGTTCTAGTGACTCTGTATCCAGTCCTATTCCCACCAGACTACACTATAACATGAAACATGGCCTAGTTTCATTTCAAGAGCAACTTAGATGTTGAAAGACCCATACGGTCATGGTTATAATGTGATGTTACTTATATGTCCCATGGGATTGACAGTATTATAGAAGGAGGGGCCAGGAGAGTAATTTGAAGAGTTCCACATTGACTGGATTGTTAAAAGTGAGTATCTCTTTGCCAGTTGTACGACCAGCTAGCAGGTTTGCATGTCACAATGTACTGCTTGGATACTGCTGATAATGTTCATCAGATAAAACCATTAGGTTTTTCATGATAAATGAGCACATGATTGAAAACTGGTTCAACTTGCTCATTAAAAAGAATAGATGTCAACACAATTAAAATGGAATGACAGACTATTGATAAATTTAACCCAGATACTGGAGGATATAAAATATAAATCTTTCATAAGTCAGGCAGAAATGAAAAGGAATCATATTATAACTAAAAGGGAAAAAAAGAATTAATCAAGTATACATATAAAGGCCTCTACTAAATACCTTGGCACACTATAGAATCCTATAATGCATTTATAATGCAAACCCTTGTATGATGTAATGTATGGCAACTTATCCTATATTTCCTCTTTTGATTGATGTTAAAACTTCCAACATTGCTAGCAAAAGAGCCTGTCATTTCAATCTAGTGAGATTTAAAATGAATCTTCTTTTTAAGATGGAAGTTCACCAGGGAAGAGTAAACCTCATGCATAGATAGTGTCCTCCTTATTTTCTCTTAAGTAGCCTTAACTTATACAACACTGCAAGGATAGTTCATTTTTTTTTTGCAACAAAAATTGTTTTAAAGAGAATGAGAAGCAAATAATATTTTCCCTTTGGCTTCATCATAATTTCACAAATGAGTTGGGCAACTCTTTAGCTGCCTTGCTTGTGGCAGTGAGGTGGGAACAAATGGAAATTCAGAGGCAATGTAACATCAGTGGCTTGAGAGAGGCAAATAGCTGATGCCCTAATTTCTCAAAATTAGTTTCTTTCAGAAAGATAGGACCAAGACCTCTGTTTTCTTGCTGTTTGCACCTCATGATGCCATCAGGAAACACACTTATCAACTAGATTAGAAGCCTCTTGAGGCCAAGAATCATGTCATGATCTATTTCAATAGACCGCTTAGAAAAATGCTGAGCATAGTCTCATATGAGATGAATATTTGTTGATTCATTAGATATGCAAACATCTGCTCTTCACACTTCACCATGACTATAGCAAGATCTGAGCAGCTAAGGAACAAATCTTTTTTATGTTCCCAGAAGAATTCCATTAACACAAACCTTTTTAGGATGGTACACTGAATAATTTCCTTGATATTCTAATTCTGTCTGATGAATTTCCACAGAATCAATGTGACAAAACTCAAGTAGATCTGAAATCATAAAAACCCTTGTTCATTGGCAGAGATAACCAAATTTACAGTACAGAAAGAAACTATTGCGAGGATATAAGAATGGTTGTGGTCCTCCTTTAGTTTTTCTTTTTTTTTTCACTTCTTTTTTCAGAAAATAAAACAGTATTAATTTTTTCCTTCTCTAATTTGGCCAGTTTTCCTGAATTTTTAATATATTCTATCATTTATAACTCACAAGAAATATTAAGTCTACATGAAAGAAATTAATGATTACTCAAGATAAAGGACACAAAATATATTCCAGAGCTACACAGTAGTAGGAAAAATGAGATAAATGGATAGGGCCATATTAGATTAATTTTTTGTGCTGGTTTTGTTAATGTACAATTGGTGGAGAACTATAGCAGTGCTTTCCAAACCAAAATATTCCACAAACAAGTAAGATACCTAAATTCTCTACTAATGATTTTTCCATAGCTAAGAGGTAACAAACCAAAAAAGGAGCAAAAAGGGAGATAGCATAAAAGGAATGAAACATAGGATGCAAAAAAGGAAGGCAGAGTTAGGTTTCTCAATTAAAAGACTGAAGAAATCAAGAGATCTTAGAAATGTAAGTATTTTTTGTTAGTTATTTTTTCTCTTGACTTTAAGAAATAGGACCTAGCTCCTTAAAACTTACATATTACAGAAACTAGTATTTCTTCTCCCTGTTTCAGTGCCTAATATTACTAATTAGGATAATTATATATCTCATTTAAAATTTAATACATACCTGTCCCTCTACTATCCATCTGGAGATAGAGGTTTTCCCATCATAACCGGGCCGGAACTGAAGTGTTGCTGATCGAGGACTAATATTGGAAATCACCAGATTGGAAGGGGCTCCAGGAAGTTCTGAAAATAAAATACAGGGGAAAAAAGACATTAATTTAAGCTGTCAGGTCTCAGGTCTATATACATATTATACAAGTCAATAGCAGTATATTTTATTTCTACAGTAAACATCTTCAGAATACTTAAACAAAAGCGTTAATTTGCTAACAAGAATCAGGAAGAGTGAAGCTTTACAAGCAATGTCAAAGGGTTATGATTTGTGTAATGAAAGTGAGGTCCTAGTTATACAGTATATAGCAGTCACCCACAGCCCCACTTATTCTGACGCATCAGTATTTGAAGTTGTTGTTAATATGATCCATGGGATTATAAGCTCCTGGGGGGACAGAGGACATGCCTTAATTTTCTTTGCATCCTCCATGGTGCCCAGCATCATGCCTTGTAGATAGGAAGTTCTTAAACAATTTGGAGAATGTGTGGATTAATGAAGAACATGACCCTTTCTGGTTCCTCAGATGTTGCAGATAATTCAATATCCCACCTGTTGTCTTACAGTTTTACCTAGGTAATATGAATGGGGTGGGAACGAGGGGAGGAGAACACCTGATCAAGCATTGTTTCCAAGACAACAAGATATAAATAGGTGACATTATCTGTAATGGGGATAAGCTAGAAAACTTCCCAATAAGATGAGGGGTGAAACAAGGATGCCTATTATCAGCATTATTCAATATTGTCCTAGAAATATTAGCTATATACATAAGACCAAAAAAAAATTAAAGGAATTAGAATAAGAAATAAGGAAACAAAACTATCACTCTTTGCAGATGATATGATGGTATACTTAGAGAAAACTAGACAATCAACTAAAAAAAACTACTGAAACAATTATCAACTTCAGCAAAGTTGCAGGATATAAAATAAACCCACATAAATCATCAGTATGTGTGTATGTGTGTGTGTGTGTGTGTGTGTGTGTGTGTGTGTGTGTATTACCAACAAAGCGCAGTAGAAACAGATAGTAAGGGAAATCCATATGAGATAACTGCAGACAACATAAAATACTTGGGAGCCTATCTGCCAAGACAAACCCAGAAGTTATATAAATACAATTACAAAACACATTTCACACAAATAAAGTCACATCTAAAGAACTGGAGAAATACTAATTGTTCACGGGTAGGCCAAGCCAATATAATAAAAATGAAAATTCTACCTAAATTAATTTACTTATTCGGTACCACACCAATCAAATAACCAAAAAAATTTTAGGGCTAGAAAAATAATAGCAAAATTAATCTGGAAGAACAAAAGGTCAAGAATATCAGGGAAATCAATGTAAAAAACATAAAGGAAGGTGGCCTAACAGTACCAGATTTCAAACTGTATTACAAAGCAATAATGATGAAAATAATCTAGAATTGGCTAAGAGAGAGAGAGTGGTGTATCAGTGCAATAGATTAGGTACACAAAACACAGTAGTAAATGACCATAGTAATCTAGTGTTTGACAAACTGAAAGATCCAAGATTTTGGGACAAGAATTCACTATCTGACAAAAATTTCTGGGAACACTGGAAAGCATTTTGGCAGAAACTAGGAATAGACCAACATCTCACATAATATACCAAGATAAGCTCAAAATGGTGGCATGATTTAGGAATAAAAAGGTTATATCATAAGCAAATTAGGGGAGCATGAAATATTTTACCTGTCAGAATTTATGGATAATGGAAGAATTTATGACTAAACAAGAAATAGAAAGGATCAAGGCAAATAAAATGGATAATTTTGATTATATCAAATTAACAAGCTTTTGCACAAATAAAACCAATGCAGCTGAGATTAGAAGGAAAGCAGGAAACTTGGGGGCGGGGTTTACAGCAAGTTTCTCTAATAAAGTCCTCATTTCTAAAATATTCAGAGAATTGTGTCAAATTTATAAGAATACAAGTCATTCCTCAAATGATAAATGATCAAAGGATATGAACAGGTAGTCTTCAGAAGAAGAAATCAAAGCTGTCTATAGTCATACAAAAAAATGCTCTAAGTTGTATTGATTAGAAAAAGGCAAATTAAAACAACTCTGGAGTTGGAAGGGATGTGGAAAAATTGGGGCACAAATGCACTATTGGTGGATTTGTGAACTGATTCAGCCATTCTAGAAGGTAGTTTGGAACTATGCCCAAAGGAGTATAAATCTGTGCAAATCTGATCTAATACTACTACTACTAGGTCTATAGCCTAAAGAGATTAAAGAAAAAGGAAAAGGACCTATATTTACAAAAAAAAAATTAGAAAACCTCTTTTTGTAGTAGCAAAGAACTGGAAATTGAGGGGATTCCCATCAATTGGGGAATGGCTGAACAAGTTGTGGTATATGATTGAAATGAAAGACTTGTGCTATAAGACATGACAAACAGGTGCTTTCAGAAAAACCTGGGAAGATTTCTATGAACTGATGCAAAGTGAAATGACTGGAATCAGGAGAATATTGTACATTGTAACAGCAATATTATATTGCTGATGAACTGTGAATTATTTAGCTATTCTCAGCAATACAATAATCCAAAACAATTTTGAAGGACTTATGATGGAAAATGCTATTCACTTCCAGAAAAAGAACTGAGGAAGTCTGAATGTAGATTAAAGCATACTTCTCAAACTTTATGTTCTTCTTGTTTTTTGGTTTTCATTTTCTTTTGCAACATGGCTAATGTGGAAATATTTTGCATGACTATACACATATAATCTACATCAAACTGCTTGCCTTCCGCAGGAAGGATAGGAGGAGGAGAATGACAGGAGGGAAGGAAGAAAAAAATCTGGAACTCAAAATTTAATAAATGAATGTTAAAATTTTTATTTATATGTAATTGAGAAAAAATAAAAATATATTATTAAAAAAAGATGCAAATAGGTGTCCAGCACTTGAGCCTGGAGCTTCCTGGTCCTGTTGCCAGGACAACCAAATTCAGATAGATGCACAGATCATTTGCACACTTGTGTGTTTTCTTTGGCAATAAAAGTAAGGAAAGATGAGCATGGGTTGTGGTTCCTGATATCTGCAATAATTTTTTATGTAGAACTTAACATATAACAGCAGTTCTACAACACAAGGCTCTTTTAAATAGCTAATATCTTACATGCAGTTACTTATAACTTTAAAATGAAAGTTTGAAAAAAATGATGCTGCCTAAAGCCTTAAGGCAATTTAGGGAAAGAATGCATACTGTAAAAGAACCTGGCACAAGGAAATGGATTAGAATTAAGAAAAAGAAAATACAATCAATTCATGTAGCAGAAAAAGCTATCAGAAAAAAAAAGCTTGTCTGGGGAACAGTTCCCCAATTTCTCATTCCTGGGGATATTTAAAAGGAGCCTTCACATGGGAACAACAGCATTACTTTGGTGATTGTTCCAATATTGGTATACGTAGTGATGACAGGATTTCAAGGGTTCTTGTTACATCTACTTTTAATGAATTTTGGGCAGAAAATGTGTAAATCAAAGGAACAGCAATTCTTTTTGAAAAAGTTCTCTACATTTCTCAGAGACTCTGGTTCTTTAAAATACTCTTCATACATTAAATGGATATAGATTTCAAGCTTAACAAACAGAATCTAGTGACATCAGCATCATATAACTTTTGCTTTAATCTAATTACTAGAATATGCAATGGTATTTTATGACCTCCCTTCAGTTTCAGGTGATCTACCCTGAAAATATTGTAATAGCAACTCAATAGCCTTCCTTAATCATGGTTATCAACCATTTATTTAATACAGTTGTGCTTCATTTCCCCATATAATTCTCTATTCTGTGCATCACCAGGTGTATTGCCAATCACAAAAATAAAAGGATGAAAGGGTTTTCCAGAGGTCAGCTAGTTCATTTTCCTGCCCCTACTGCTAGGATTGCACTTTAAACTAGACAATACATATGCAGGTTTATTTCATTTTGCACAATAGATTCACTCTAAAAATGTGATGCACAAATAGTCTGTAATTTAAGTCATCATTAGGTTAATAATAATGGTAATATATCTTCCACTAAAGTCTCTCTCTTAATGCTTTATTGTGGCATAGTGGTGATCCCTGGTTTTCTAAAGTTATCAAAAGGGTACAACCTCCAGAAATTTTTGCTAAGCTGCAAACATTTCTAGTATAGGCTCAGTGACAGACTGTTTGTCTTCTGAGTACTGGCCTGGTTAAATTTGGAGAGGATCATCACCAAAAAGTTGAAGGGTCAGTCAATAAGCATTTATGCCTTCTATGTGCCAGGCACTATGCTAAGCCCTGGAGAAACAAAGAAAGGCAAAAAAAAAAAAAAACCAAACAGTCCCTGTTCTCAAGTGACTCATGGTCTACTCAGGAAGACAATATTTAAACAACGATGTACAAACAGCTATGTAAAAACATGATATAAACAGATCAATTGCAGATATTTTGAAAAGGAAGGCAATAAGGTTATGAAGGCTAGGAAAGTCTTATCGAACATGGAATTTTAGCTAAGATTTCAAGTAAGCCTGCAAAACCAGGAAGCTAAGAGCTGCAGGCATGGGAGACAGCCAATGAAAATGCCCAGATTCTGGAGATGGAGTGTCTTATTCAAGGAACAGCAAGGAGGCCAGTGTCAGTGGATTGCAGAATACATGGAAAAGAGTAAGGTGTAAGAAGACTGGAAACGTAGGAAGGGATCAGGTTATGAAGAGCTTTAAAAGTCAAAAAGAGAGTTTTATATTTGATCTTGGAAGTAATAGGGAGCAGCTGGAGTTTATTAAATAGGAGGGGTGACATGGTGAGACCTATGGTTAAAGAAGATCAATTTTATAGTTGAGTAAAGGAGTGAAGCTTGAAGTAGGGAGATAAATCACCAATAGTCTAGTGAGATAGTTGAGTGAGGTGATGAGGGCCACCAAGATTCTTCTTTCCTCTCTGGCTATGGCTGCTCATAAATGAACAAATGAATGAATCGAAAAGCACTTATTAAGTGCCTACTATGTGCCATGCACAGAGGACACAAAACTATAGGGGTAGTGATTGGTGCCCTAATGGAGTAGATCAACCCAGACCAGCAATGAACCATGGTAAAACTGATTTGATTATGGTTCATGATTCCTGAAGGGGGAGGGATAAAGAGGAAAGGGGAAAGCATGAGTGGCGTAGGGAAGGGGTGCTAAGGAAGGAAATGTCAATGGAGTAGTCTTTAACTGTGCACAGCCCTGGAATGACATTTCTCTACATCAGTATCCCTCAAGGAAAAAAAAAATCCCCACCCATGACTTAACAGTTATCCTGCTAGATAAAAGGGCTTCCTTTTACTAATGTCATTCATTTTTGTACCATACTCGTTTCTCAGTACACCTCTCTCATTCTTGAATCTTCTCTTACATCAAAGAAAAAGTGACATAAAGCTGACTGACACAGAAACCATGTCTGATAGCGAACACAACATTCTGGACCCATAACTCACTACATCTGTCTAGAAAAGTTTGTTTCATCATCTCTTCTTCTGGACCAAAATTCATCACTACTGTTCAGAGTTTGGCATCCTTCAAGATTAAAACAAAGAAACAAACAAACAAGCAAACAAACAAACCCCCCAAACATCTGTTTTACTATTTTATAACCATAAAATAAGGATTTCTTTTTGGTCTGATTGAAATTATGCCCACTTTACTTTGTTTCTCTTCTGCTTCTCCATACAAAGTGTCAAAGTAAGGCAAAGTAAGGCAGGATTAACCAATCTCATAGAGTTACATTAGGGAAACAAAGCTATCTATGAGATACAAAGTATAAGTGTACTGCTTTGAATTTCACACATCTGATAGCTGAAAAACTATGATGGTGAAATTTTACTAACCTGGTGGAACTCCAGAAGAAATTGTGGATGAAGTCACCAGTCCAATCCCTGTTGCTGTGACAGCTGCCACTTCAATGGTGTAGGTGGTGAGAGATGACAATCCTTTAATTTTATATTCATGGGTTGTGTTATTTAAAGTAAGTGTAAGACGAGAGTCATTTCTACTGTACACCTCCCAGGAAATCTGATAACCTAGAAACAATGACAAAACAGCTTGACAATCACAATCATCTCATGCTTATTTTTTTTTTGTTTCAAGTTCTTTAATTTGCTTTAAAAATATTTTAATGGGTCCAATACTCAATTGTTATGTATCTACCTTTGGTATTTGCACAGATGTCCTAAGCTTCCCTGTACCACTGCAGTTGTTATAAAGGTGGCCCAGTGGATAGAGTAACAGGCCTGGATTTAGGAAGACTCATCTTCCTGAATTCAAACATGGCCTGGGATGCTTACTAGCTCTGTGACTCTGAACAAGTCACTTCACCCTGTTTGCCTCAGTTTCCTCATCTATAAAATGAGCTGGAGAAGGAAAAGGCAAACCATTCCAGTATCTTTGCAAGAAAACCCCAAATGGGTTCATGAAGAGTTAGACACAACTGAAAAATGACTAAACAACAACAAAATGAATTACATAGTTTCCCCTCTTTTATTTTCCCTTGCTTCAAATAATTATAATTATTTATCATTTCTAAATTTCTAGAAAAATGGATTTTAAAAGATTTTCCTGTTTGCTTTGATTAATTTTGCTTCTGTTTTGCATACTTTTTGCTGTTGTTGTTCTGCTTTTTACCCTTCTATTTCCTAGTGAAATGTTAATCTCCTATGTACCCCACTCACAATTTACTTGATTCTAAATATCTTTATAATTTGTGTTCAGAGGCAAAAAGACCTATGTGGCTCTTAAATCAAAACTTTTTATAAGAAAGCTTAATACACCACACACACATGAGGAAGCTTTAAAAATATCACTTGATGATGCAGACAATGATGAAAGGACCTAGGATGTACAAAGTTGAAGGAAAAAAAACAAGAAAATATATTTTTCCTTACTCTTAGCCAATGATCTTGATGCTAAAAAATTATCAGGCATTTTAACCTCCTCAAGTTCCATTTTTTTGAGATGGAAATAATGAAAATGGTTATAGACATTAATGCACTATGCAGAAACCAAGAACTGGGAGCACACTATACAGCTAGACTAATTCTTAATAGCTTTAAGAAGAAAAAAAAAGATTAAATGTCAGGAACTGCTGTCAGAAACAGCTGCAGTTCTTTCCTGGTGCATCTGATATAAATTGCCTTCCTATGCAATTCTCTTAGGGCAGGGCTGGGGAACCTTCAGCCTTCACAAGTGGCCTCCTAGGTGGCCTTTTTACTGAGTCCAAGTTTTACAGAACAAATTCTTTTATTAAGGGGATTTATTCTGTGAAGCTTGGATTGAGTCAAAGGGTCACACTCAAGGACCTAGAGGGTCCTAAGACTCAGAGAATTACCTTCAAGGATTAGCTCCCCTGAGATAGGAGTGCTAAGGATAGGGGCTAAGGGTTGTTTACTCTAGATGCCAATGTTATCACTGTGTATCTGAATCATCATTTAATTTATTTTTAGTCACCTTATCTCACTCATATTTCCTGGTTTGTGACCATTCATTCATTCCAACAAGCATTTACTAAACATCTACTATATACCAGGCACTGTACCACAAACTGGGGTTAGAAAGAAAAAACAAACCAAAAAAAAAAAAACCAGCAGTTCATGCCTTCTATTGGGAAAGGTATGGGAAACAACAACATTCAATACATCAATCAATAAGAATTTTTAAGGTACCTACTGTGTATCAGGCCCTATGTTAGGTGCCAGGGATACAAAGGCAAAACTGAAGCAGTATCTGTTATCAAGAAGCTTATCTTCCATAGAGGGAACTAACACATATACATACAACTGTATACAAAATACACACAAAATTAGTACAAGGTAAATTTATGAGAGTGAGGCAACACGAACAGCTGGAGAAAGGCATGGGACCAGGAAAGGTTTCACATAGAAGATGGTTGCTTGGACAGTGTCTCGAAGGGATCCTTAAAGTCAGGTAAGGTGAAATGCATTCCAAGCTTGGGGGACAGTCAGTGCAAAGGCAAGGAGACGAGATAGAGTGTTTGGTTGTGAAGAGCATCAGAAGGGCCAGTGTGACTGGATTATAAGAGTTCAGGAAAGGGGAAGACTGTATAATAAGTTAGAAAGGTAGGTTGGTGCCAGATTGTAAAGGGCTTTGAAAGATAATCAGAGCTTATATTTGATCCTAGAGGAAATAGGGAGCCACTGGAGTTTTTTTTTTGGGGGGGGGATGATGTGGATAGATCTGAACTTTAGGAAAATTTTACTTTGGAAGTTGGGTGGAGAATAGATTGGAGAAGAAAAAAATGGTGCAGAGGGGGAGAGGAGAGGGAGGAAGGAGGCAGGGAGACCAATCTAGAGGGTATTGCAAAAGTTCAGGTGAGACATGAGTGTCAGAATTAAGATATGAATAGAGAGAAAGGGCTAGGTAGGAAAAATGTTGTAAAGGTAGAGGCAACAAGATTTGGAAACTCATTTCACAACCTGAACACTCAAGATTTCACAACTCATGTGTTGTGAAGAATGAGGACTAAAGTATAACTACAAGGTTGTGAACCCAGGGGACTAGAAAGATGGTGGTGCCCTTAACAGAAATAAGTAAGTTCGAAAGAGAATTTCATTTTGGGGAAAAGATGGGTTAAGTTTTGGGCATACTGAATTTTAGATGCCTATGGAACATCCAGTTTTAAATATATAATAGAAAATTGCTCAGAATAGAGAGAATCTAGTACTGTATATAGAGATCTAGAAATAATCGGATTTGAGATGATTATTGAATCCAAAAGAAGTGAGTAGATCACCAAGTGAGACTGCAGAGAAAAATAAAAGAGGGCACAAAATAGAACCTTGAGGCATGCCCAAATTTAGAGGGTATAATATGGATGATGAATCAAAAAAGCAGATTGAGATAGAATGGTCAGAAAGGCAGGAGGAGAACCAAAACAGAGCAATGTGATGAAAATCCAGAGTGGAGAAAGTATTAGAAGTGAGTGTGAGGAGAGAAAATGAAAGTAATGGGTATAGATAGTTTTGGAAAAGAGTTATAGGATATTAGTTTGAAGAGATAGTAGAATCTAATAATTTTTTTTTCAGGATTTGGGAGACTTGGAATTTTTGTAAATAGTAGGGAAGGAACTAGGATATAGGAAGACATCCAAGATTATACACATTAGATTATTATGGGGGGGCAGTCTGCTGGAGAAAATAAAATGGGATGAGATCAAGGATACATGTAGAAAAGGTGATCTTGGCAAGGAGAAGGGTCACCTCTTATTAAAGGCTGGAGTAAAAGAAGAGAGAATGAAAGATGAAAGCAAGGGACTTTGAGAAGTAGGGATGGGAAGAAGAGGGAGTTCATGGTGAATGGTCTTCATTTTCTTAAAAAAGGATAGGAGCAGCGGATAGAGCATTGGCCCTGGAGTCAGGACGATCTGAGTTCAAATTGATTCTCAGATATTTACTAGTTGTATCACCTGGGCAAGCCACTTAAACCTGATTGCCTCCAAAATAATAATGATGATGATGATGATGATAATAATAATAATAAAGTATAGGCCAGGTCTTTAGCTAAGAGGGAGGAGACGGTATGGAGTCTTGAAGATCTAGAATGCCTCTATAGGAAGTGGGATAGAAAACCTGGGGCACAGTGAATAAAGTACCAGCCCTGGAGCCAGAGGACTTAAGTTCAAATCTGGCCTCAGACACTTGACATTTCTTAACTGTGTGATTCTGGGTAAGTCACTTAACCCTGGTTACTTCGCACAAACACACACACACACACACACACACACACACACACAATTAGAGAGGAAGAAAAGGATTATCATGTTGCAGTGAGGGTCCAGTTGATATTAGAAACATAAATTTACATTGGATCTAATCAGTCTGTGTGATCTATTCTAGCTCCATTATGAAATGAATGCAAACATATACAGAGTAAATACAAAGGAGTAGTAGGAGGGAAGAGAGGACTTACCATTTAGAGCAGTGGTGTCAAACTCAAACAGAAAGGGTAGGGCACTAAATTATAAATAATGCTCACCGCATATTGATTTATGTTAATAAATTAATATTAATATTATCTGTTTTATTTTAATGATTATGTTAAATGTTTGCCAATTACATTTTATTCTGTTTCTGGTAGCACTAAGAGTTTTGTGGGCCTTATGAAATCCATGTATATGGTGTTGATACCTCTCATTTAGGAGATAAGTAGAGGTCTTCTATAGGAATTAGCTTGAGCTAGCTGGCCAACTCTTCCTCTGTGGCTTGTCAGCTTGCAGTTTTAGCCTCCTCTCCAGTTTGTCCATGCTGTAAATGCTTGTAAGTAGACCGACCATTCCATTACTAATCTCTATTTTTTTTTTGATTGTGGTATCTATTTTCTACTCTATCCTATGGCTGTTGCTAACATCTTTTACCCAAATCACCTATCCATCTGACACTTGGACTTATTAAACATAATATTCAAGGTCTATAAGCTAATAACATTATTTTTTATTTAATCCTTTCATATTCAATCATTCAGTGACTTAGAATGAATGTCTTATTGTTGATGTTCAAGGATATAAGTAGAAGACTTTTAAATAACTATTGTGACACATTTTTTATGTGTATGGACAAGCTTGGAATAATCACCTCTGCATTATCTGAACCAATTCTCTTAATAGTTCAGAATATAATGTTAACATTGCTAAGCCTATTCCAAAGGCATAAAAACCCAGTGTTACGTAACGTTGAACCTATGTGGTAGTTAACTTCAGCTGCTCAAAACCATTCGCCATCAAAACGCACAAAAAATGGTGGCATTGGTTGAAAATACTGACCTGGAGCAAGAACACAATGGCAGCCTTTAGTGAGTACTCTAGTTACAGCAATTTAGTATAGAACTGTTATGATCTATTGGCATAAAAACTGATAAAATTATATACTAAAAATGATAAGGATATCCATGGACATGCCAACAAAACCTGATTTAATCAGGCTAGGACAAATAAAAACAAAATTGAGTTGAATGAGCTAGACCAAGAATACTTAATAAAAACTGCATCTAAAGTCCAGTCATACACAGATGG